TAAACAAGGTGATATATAATATTTTTTTTGTTCTCCTTTTAAATAAATACCGATCAGCTTTATGTTCAGAGACAATAGGAGCCGTTGGCTTAAATTTGCAGTTTACTGTATTTATGGCTGTAATATCAAGGTGCTGCCGTCGTAATTTCATGCCCCAATGAGAAGAGCAAGGTCGAAGCAAATGCTTCCATCGGCATCTGCTAGCACACTAACTCATAAACAAGGCCTGCTGGATCAGGTGGCTCGGAATAATACAGGCTAATGAAATACAGCACAGCTTTCCATTACTGTTAGTTTTTACAGTGTCGTCATTACGTGTAATTTATGTTTAAAAAATTCAATTTTATACAAGGCACTGGGAAATAGGGGTCTACAGGTCATCCAACGACTTTTAGAGGCTCCGAGAGTCCTTATTGTACTCTACTGCTCCAACGAAATGTTAATAAAATAAAATAAAAATACTTTCTCCCTTCCCCTCCCCAAACCTGCTGAGAGAGAGCTGATTTTTCTTTTAATTTGGGGACTATCTTTAGGCAGCTGTCTTCTCTGCCTCGTCTCCTTCTGGTGTGTGCCAGGCAGAAAACTAGTGTTCTGCGAGAGGTGACCCTGCTCAGGCTTCAGAGCTGCAGATGAATTGCCCACGTCCTGGAAATGCAGGGACTGTGGGTGGAAGACACCTGAGTTCTCAGTCCTCCACCCCGTGCTTTGCTGTGGACCTGAGGCCTTTCGTTATAAAGCTCGGTCTAGACTGGAAGGTGCTGCTGGGGTTCATCATGCTGCATATTTTCACACCATCCCTAGCCCATCTGTCTGTGTTTCTGCTTCACCTGTTCAGGATCAGGCCCAGAGCTGTGCTCATAGTCACCGGACTCAGTGTTTTTACTTGTTCTCGGAAGCCCCTGCTCATTGCCTCTCACAGAGAATAGGTAGCCCTTCCTGTCCTGGGAAAGATTGGTGGGGCCTTGTATTCACCCCCAGTTTGTTTGGTTTTGTTTGCGTTTTAATAGAGACCGTTAGAAAAAGAAAACAGATTTGTTTATTTCTAGGGGATGAAAATAGGCAGGCGTGGCTGTCTCGAGGCTTCAGTTCAGATGACTGCAGAGCTTGCTTTTTGATCCCTTGTTTCCATTCTTTTAAAATCAGCCCTCTGGAGAAAGTATTGGAGTAGAAATCCTTGGCCCCAGCTTTGCACAGGGGCAGCCTTGGTGGCTTCCTGATGTTTGGGGAAGTAGTTTGGAGGGACTGAGAACACAGAGTGCCCCTCTGCCCAGCAAGTTCTCTGGTCCTTCCTTCTCCTCTTCCTCCTGCCTGAAACAAGTGAGTGGAGTAACTGAGCAGGACTTTCTTAGAGTTATTCTTTACCCAGTGTATTTAACTTAATACTCTAGATAGGGTAGGATGGGAACTCTTGAAAAATCACCATGTCGGAAGGGAAGTTCCTGGGAAAACATTAATGCTGGGTGCTGGTGGTGCCAGATAATGCTAACTGATACCTCAACCAAGAAGAATTCAAGTTTTATTAAAATGAACTAATTCTTCCAAAGACAGATAGTGGAGGCAGGAGGCTGGCTTGCAACACACAGGTTGGCAGAGTCCTTAGCTTCCAGCTCTGCTCAGCCATTGCATGGTCCCTCTATGGTTAGATTATTCCTCACAGATAGCAATCAACTGGAAGGAAGTGTGTGTGTCTCATTTGCATGAGATTATTTAAAACAACAACAAAAAAAGGTCTGCATTAGTCGGGGTGATGGTAAACAAGGCAAAGAGGTGCCTTTATAATATAGCCTGTGCCTCGGCTTTCAGAGCCAAATATAATTCACTTACAATCGGCAGTTTCCTTTATTATTCCTTTTAACCTTTTGGATTCTGCAAGGTCTCAATCAGAGATCTGCATTGTTTATCTCAGAGGGTGGATGGGAAAGATGGGGCTAGGGCACTTGGGGTGTTTATCCATGGGTCCAGTGACAGCAGCTTATCACATAGCCAGTGACTGGGTAGATAGCTAGTCCTATTCTGGGGAGAGGTGAGGGACCCCTTCCTGGCCTCCTTGCATCCCAGGTGGACCATCTAGTTCTGTAAATAGAGTCCTGAAACTGGCCAGTGCTGCCTGAGCCAGGGACACTGCTGAGGAAGGGGACACTCAGGAAGTGTGGGTGCCGGTCTGTGAGCAGTGTCCGGAGTGGGATGAGGATGGAGATACATTGTCACTCTGGTGTCACTTATCATTTGCAGGTGGGACCCAGGGTTAAGTTCCCCTGTTGTTTTTCTATAGCCACGAATTAGTTGCTGGCTCTTACTTATAGATGGGGGTACCTATCGGGTGGCAGTGGCACAAAGGAGTAAACCTCTGGCAAGACCGAAGAGTCAGGCTCTGAATCTGTATCTGGTGTTTAAGCTCTGGTGTGGTGTCCATCCCCGGAAGATGGACAGCCTTGGCTGTCACTGGCACTGCCATTCTTCAGAACGAGTATGGTTTGGGCAGGGTCTTCCTCCTCCTCAGATCTCCGGTTTTTCATCTGCAGAATGGGGACAGTGGCCAGGATAATGCCTCATCTATAAAATTATGCTTTAAAAAAAAAAGATTGATTTATTGAAACTAAGTCAAAACCCCGATTCTCCTGGAGAGCTAGGGATATCTGAATTCCAGCCAGTACAGATTTAGAACATCAAATGATAAGGTCTGTGAAAAGCGAGAGCCTGGAAGGAAGTGCTGATGCCCTTTAGACCATGGCCTCACTGGTGGGCTTGGCTTCGATAATGTAAGGAACATGTTTTATTAGGAAAACAGGCTTCGTAAAAGCTCAGGGCCGGAGGGTGGAACAGCGGGCAGGGAGTCTTGTTCCTTTAACCAGCTCCAGCTCACAGGGCCGAGGCACAGCCTGTAACTTACTGTATATTTCCCCAGCGTTAAACATTATCATACTTGTTTATATTTGAAAGAGCCAGAAGGGAAAATGAGAATGCAACTGAATGCTCCTTTTGGGAAAATTATCCTCATTTGCAGCCAGCGGCTGACAAGGCACATGATCCACCAGGTTTATAGAATTCCGTAGTGTACCAGTGACCAGCAGCCTGTGCTGACGTCGCAGATGCTGCTCCCCTTTCTAGCAGCCGACTGCGAACTGGTTAAAACAGTGTCTTCCTTCCAGCACTGGACAGGGGTGCCCCTTCCCTTCCTATTTAGGAAGAGCAGTCAGCCCTGACTGACAGGTGTTGAGAACCCAAGAGGCACAAGCTCCAAGGAAGTGTGTCCCCTGTTTGTGCTTGGCTTGTCCACCTCTCCTATCCCTGCTGGGGGAGGGGGAGAAACGATGGGGAAAGCAGTCCCTTTGTAGCAGGCTGAGGAGCAGGAAGCAGGGACACCCTCGTTCAGCCCCAGTCTACTCAACTTCACCTGGTGCTCTAGAGCTTTATTACCTGCCCCTTAATCCAGGTGAGAGTTGTCAGGGTGCCCCCCCAGCCTTCTGACGTAAAGCAGTGCCGGCTTGCCTGCCCGTGTGCGTGTGCGTGTGCGTGTGTGTGTGTGTGTGTGTGTGTGTGTGTGTGAAGAGGGGGAAAGGGAAAAGAGCTATAGCTAAGCACGAGAGAAGAAGAAAGGTAAAAAGGTCCAGGGCCATCTTGAATAGCTGAGGCACTCCCTTGACCGTTGTGGTAGGGCATGAAAAGTTTGAGGGATGACTGCAGTCGACTCAGGCCTATAGGATGCAGGCCAGAGCTGTGCGCTAAAGCATTAATGTGCACCATGTATTAGCCCCCAGGCACAGAGTGCAAGGCACCACACTTTGAAGATGCTGATCCTCAGAACCGCCTCGTACTTCATCCACCCCCAGGGGCAAGTATACCATGCTGTGGGCCTCTAATGGAGAGCTGTGGACCAGATGTGGAAAAGCTCTCGGCTCTAGTTTAAAAGCTCTGTGTTGCAGCTCAACTGGATATTGGGATTCCCGGAATAGCCCCGGCCAGCCCGAGTTGTCTCCTGCAAGCCAGCAGTGACGACCCACTTGCTTTCCCCAGCCACCGAGTAGAGCACTTTTGTCCACATTGTTACTTCCTGAGTGGATCCTGTGGGAAAGTTTGTCACATACCTGGGCTCCACAATTCATTCCTAGTCTGTGGGTTGGTTGATGCCTTTATCCTCCATAATAGTCAGTTTCCCCAGTTGGCAGACCCACTGGAAATCCCTGCGCACTGAAATTGGGGTCTTGGTGGGCCATCACTTGACTTCCATTCCTCATGGGTCAGGCCTTTCATCATGAAATAGCCACTGCAGATGGCGCCCTGGGATTTTCTGATGTCCCACGTGCAGTGTGGTTTGGAGTGTCTCGAGGATATTTTTAAAAAAGGAAAAAGAAGCTAGCCAAAGGCGGTCCAGGCTCCTGCGATAGGCTAGAGCAATAATCATCTGAAAGTTTGGGCCTGGCCTTGTTTTGATCTGTTTTCTTGTTTTATTTTCTTCTTTACATTCTGTGTCCCATTCATACTAATCACAGTCAGTCCTGATTTTTCTTTTTATTTCTGCATTTGTCATAAAATAAAGCAAATTATTCCCGTCTTCGGAAACGATCTAGACTAATTAGTCGTCTCACCCAATAATTAGTTTTTTGTTTCCCTGTCTGTTTTCATGCATTATTGTTAGTTTTTTCCCTTCTTTTTTTTCACACCATTACAGATTAAAATGAGCCACATTTGCAGTTGATGGTATCTGTTTTCGGGGGAAGAATGGAGAATTGCAGTACGGAGCGACTTCAAAAGCAGCAATAAACTCAAGGATAAATTAAGGAAATTGAATGAGCCACATTTGGAAGCAGTGTTGAGGCTAATATTCTGTCGCTTAAGGTTAAATTGCAACTGAGAGAGGTTCCCAAGAATCCGAAATCGAGGAGGCAACTTACTAGAATGCAAGGCGCTCTGGCCGTCAGGACCTTTTCTTAGGGAAGATTTTGATACAGGGTGGATGCTGGTAAGAGGTACTCACTTGCCTTCTTTGCTCTCGTCCCCAGGACTGACAGATGAAGAGATTGACCTGGCTTTCCAGCAGTCAGGCACTGCTTCTGATGAGCCTGCATCCTTGGGCTCGGCTGCCCAGGTGGTTCCTGTCCAGCCACCTCACCTCATTTCCCAGTCATACAGTAAGTCACCTGCCCCAGCTCCTGTTTAACTGGAATTGGGATTAAGGGCACTGGCCGAAGAGCAGTGCTTTGTATCTCCCAGACTCAGGAAGTTAGGAGAAGCTGGCTTCTCCACTTGACTAGAAAGCTAAGAAAAAGTGGCACATCCAAATTTGTTTAGACAGTTTTAAATATGTGACAAAGGTTGAAGAGAGCGAGCCCCAGTTGTGTTGCTCCAGGTTTTTGGGTACATGTGTGATTGGCTCTGCGTTCCCTCTTCTTAACCAGTGGTCTGAGGGTCGCTGTTTCCTGACTAACATGAGCTGGGTGTCCTGACTGCTTTCTCTTTTGCTCACTGAAGTAACTTGTATCCTGTCTTTTTTTTTAATTTTTAATTTATTATTTTTATGTGTTTATGAGTGTATTGCCTGCATGCACCTGTGTCATGCAATGAATACCTCAGCAGTCAGAAGAGGGTGTCTGGTCCCTTGAAACTGGAGTTACAGACGGTTGTTAGCTGCCATGTGGGTGCTGGGAATCGAACCTGAGTTCTCTCTGTAAGAGTAGCCAGTGTGCCAGGAGTGGTGGCACACGCCTTTAATCCCAGCACTCGGGAGGCAGAGGCAGGTGGAGGTCTGTGAGTTCAAGGCCAGCCTGGTCTACATAGTGAGTTCCAGGCTAGCTGGGGCTACAGGGAGACCCTGTCTCAAAAAAAAAAAGAGTAGCCAGTGCTCTTAACTGATGAGCAGTCTCCATCCCCCTCACTCCTCACTGTTTTTTTCAAATTTAACATATTGATAGGCTTAGGCCGATCTTCCCTCCCTTGTCCCAGCTATACCCTGTGAATTCATGTAGTGGTAGTCTCTTAGAGAACTTCAGGCTACAACATAAAGGTCCTTTATGAGGGGTGTGTACTGTTTTAAATGAAGGTTACTGTAGTAGCAAATATAGTAAGAGATGCATCCATCCAGGTCCATCACTTCTTTAAGTCACTTATAGAAGTTTTAAAAACTTAAAATTGACTCAAACTATGGGAAATAGCTCAATTTTTTTTTTATATAACTCAGCATTGACTTATCTTTAAAAATGCCTTTTCTATAATTGTTTTCATTTTAATTGTCAAGAAGGTCTGCTGTTTTCAAAAAGTGACTTAGATTGTTTTGTTTTGTTTTGTTTTGTTTTGTTTTGTTTTGAGACAGGGTCTCTCTGTAGCCCTAGCTGGTCTAGAACTCATTATGTAGACCAGGCTGGCTAGAAGTCATAGAGTCAACCTGCCTCTGCCTCCTGAGTGCTGGGATCAAAGGCATGTGCCACCATGCCCAACTTCTTTTTTTTTTTTTTTTGGTCTTTTTGAGACAGGGTCTCCCTGTAGCCCCAGCTGTCCTAGAACTCACTGTGTAGACCAGGATGGCCTTGAACTCAGAGAGATCTGCCTGCCTCTGCCTCCCCAGTGCTGGGATTAAAGGCGTGCGCCACCATGCCCGACATCCCAATGTTTTTTTAAAAGTGATTTAGATTTTAAAGGGCATATTTTAGAATGGCAGGTTTATGTTTCTCAGTGGGCAGGTGATCTGCTCCTTCAGTAGAGACAGCCAGCAGTGTGCTCTCTCCTGTGGTTGGGAGAGGTCAGGCAGAAGCTTAACTCTGCTGTGTGTGTCACAGATTGTGATTAGAGATCCCGTCTTGTATTTTCTGGATAAAGCAGAGTGCTGAAGCCAGGGTGCACGTACCATGTGTCTTGTCCCTCTTTGCCTGGCCTGAGCAATGAAGGCCTCTGAGTAGGCTCCACAGCAAGCCTCCTGCTTCTGCTCCTGCCAACCCCTGCCAACTGTGAGCCGGGGACTCACTTCTCCTTCCCAGCCTGTGGCCTTTCAGTCCTGTGTGTTGGCATTGGGCCCCAGCCCTACTTTTTAACCAAGGACTAAGTGTCCATGCTTTTCCTGAATTGTGTCCATGGACCCAGCCATTTAATGGGATTTGCTGAGGATAGGCAGTGGCAGCTGGGGTGCAGAATTTTCTGAGATGCACATCTGTTCTGTTCCAGCTGTTTCCTCCCATGGCTTAATAGCAAACAGGTCTCTCTCTGCTACTTGAAAACTTCCTGCTTAGAACAAATTGTTCTGGTTGGTCACAGAGTTGGCCTCAAACATCATGTGCTTGGCTGCTTTATGGAGGCGCAGGAGTTAACTGTTAGGAAAAGGCCAAAGACTGGGCTGGGTGGGCAGAGTTCAGTTATTCCCATTCTCTTTCCCAGTTGCAGGCTTAGCTCCTTTAGTCTCCTGGCCCTAATAACACACACTTTCTGAGGCAGACTCCTGCTTTGACACCAGCCTAGGAACAATGGCCATGGAGATTTTTGCATGCTGGCGTCCCCTTGTCACGGAGTTTCCCTCGTAGACTGTAGACTGTCACCTTGCCCCTCGCAGCTTGGGGGCTCTGCCTTGTCACTTCTGCACTTTTGCCAAGAGGTGTCAAAACTGCTCCAAAGAAAAGGAAAAAAAAAGCTTGATTTTGATTAATATAGAGAAACAAGACTTCGCCTGACTGATAATAAAACTGATAAATGACATTTGAATTACTTGTAGCGGTAATTTATTACATAAAATATCTTTTATTTGACATGCGATTAGTTGCTAGAAGCATCACTCAATCTGACTAGTTTAAACATGCTCCAAAATGAACCCAGTAAAAACTAGGGCTGTTGGCTGCTGGCGTTATGAAATATACTAATCCTACAGTGAGGAAAAAAATCTGACTTTAAATATTTAAATGATTAATTGGGTTTATATATATATATATATTTTACCTCTCTAACCCCCTTAATTACAAGCAAACTCAGGGGAGTTTCTGAACTAGGTGTGCAATCTGCATGCTTATCACCGGAGCATTGTCTGTGTCTGGGAGGGATTTATGGCCTCTGTTCATGTGATGTGTGTTCCTGCAGATTTTGTGCCTAGATTCACAACAACTCTTTCCTTCCCATTTCTCACCTGTCTTAAGGACACTTCATCTCAGAGCCCAAGCCTACAAAATGGGATTCCCTGGGCCAGCCCCAAAGCCTATGTGTCAGGGGAGGGTCATTTTCCTTAGAGGACCTTGGGGAGCCGCTGCAGATCTTGTATCCTTGGACCTGCCCCCCTTCCCCCGTGGTGACCACGGGGATGCTGGGTGCCTCTTTTGATACCTGTGCTCTCTGGTGAGAGTGGTTGACCTTGAGATGCCATGGCAGCAATGGTGAGGAGATTGTGGAGAATTCTCAGAATGCTACCTGCTCTGTTCTATGTTTAAGCACCTACTGGATGCTGAGCACTATATCATGTGAGAGGTTCAAAGCATGATCTTTCAGAATTTTACAGACTCTTAAGGAAAAGAATAATATAAGACATTGTGATTTAATGCCAAAATTAATTATACTGACAAAAATTCTGCAAGATTACAGAAAAGAGAAAAATTAATGTGGGCTAGGGAAGTCAGGAGGCTTTGTGACTATGGCAGGAGGTTGATACCAGGGGAAGCTTGGTGTCACCTGTATGAGAACAAACCAGTGTTCCCAGAGCTTCAGAGAAAGGCTGGGATTCGAGAGGAACCTTGACAGTGTGTTGGTCGTTTTGACTTCTTTCTGTTTGAGCCAGGACTTGTGTGTGCACGTGCAGGCCCTGTGCTGTTCAGAGCTGAGTCCTCTATGCTGAGCCGAATGATTTGTGCTGAGTTGATTCGTCTTGTTCCAACCCAGACAGATAAGCAGCAAGGGGTTTTGACATAGAATCAGGGCCAGTGTAAATTTTGTAGGGCAGTAATTTTTTTCTTGGACTTCAGTGGCTTTCCGTCACTCTCCGTGATGAACAAGGTGGGCCTCCAAAGACTGATCTGCCGCTTCAGCTGCTTCCTCTTCTTTTTTTTCCTTTTTAAATTTTATTTATTATTTTTATTTTATGTCTATGCATGTATTTTCTGCATGTAGGTAAGTGCACCTGTGTCATGCAATGCCCGTGGAGGGCAGAAGAGCTGTCGGGTCTCCTGGAACTGGAGTTACAGACAGTTGTTAGCTGCCATGTGGGTGCTGGGATTCGAACCCAGGTCTTCTGCAAGAATAGCCAGTGTTCTTAACCACTGAGCCATCTCTCCAGCCCCAGCTGCTGCTTCTTAAAATAGACCGTGGATACCTGAGGCTGGCAACAGACTTTGAGCCATTTGATTAGAAATCAGGGGAGGAGGGGCAGAGAGAGAGACAGAGAAAAAGACAGAGAGCGATGTTCTCAGTCTGCTTATTTTGTAGCCCTGTTTAGTACATTTATCCCTGATTATTCTGGTTTTGTTTGTTTGTTTGTTTGTTTGAGACTATCTCCCTGTAGCCCCAACTGACCTGGAACTCACTATGTAGACCAGGTTGTCCTGGATCTCACAGAGATCTCCCTGCCTCTGCCTCCTGAGTGCTGGGATTAAAGGCTGTGCCACCACTCATGCCCAGTTATCCCCTATTATCTTAACTCACTGAGCAAGCATTTATTATTGAATTCCTACCGTGTACCTGGCAGACCCTGGGATGAAAAGATTAACAAGTTGTTTCAATCAGTTTTCCACTGCTGTGATTACTACTTGAGAAAAATCAACTTATAAAGAGTAAAGGTTGGGCTGGAGAAATGGGTTGGCGGTTAAGAGCATTGGCTGTTCTTGCAGAGGACCCGGGTTTGATTCCCAGCACCCACATGGCAGCTAACAACCGTCCTTAACCCAGTTCCAGGATATCCGACGCCCTCTTCTGACCTCCTTGGATATTGCACGAGATGGGCTCACTTACACACATGCAGTCAATACACTCGTAAAATAAAATACACATAAAATAAAAATAATAAGTAAAATATCCATCTCATGTGATGCCCGAGGAGATCAGAAGAGGGCATCAGATATCCTGGAACTGGAGTTAGGGACGGTTTATAGCCGCCATATGGGTGCTGGGAATCGGACCCGGGTCCTCTGCAAGAACAGTCAGTGCTCTTTAACCTCTAAGCCATCTCTCCAGC